CCGGCCCTGGACAGGGAGAACAGAAGTTCCCAGTCTCATAACACAATGAAATTAAACAGGTGGCAAATTCAAAATGGATACAAAGAAATACTTTTTCACATAACGTGATTAAACTATAGAACTTGTTGCCACAGGAAGTTGTTGAGACCAAGACTTTAGCAAGATTCAAACTTGTCATTAATACAGATATCAAACATATCATGAATTATGATACTTCTGGATAAAATTTTTGGAAGGGGTATAAAACCTCATGCTCCAGGGTCTAAGCCAACCTCTAACTATTAGAGATCAGGATGAGACTCACATCTGCTACTGCGGGGTTCTTACTCCTTTTTCTTTACAATCTGCTACTGGCCACTGTCAGACAAGATACTGAACTAGATGGACCTTGGATCTGATCCAGCCTGGCAATTCCCATGCACCACACACGATAGATGTTAGTCACATTGCTTAATGCATTACTGGAACACACGCTGATATTACGGTTGATGAGGGCAGTATAGGAACCTTTACAGAATAGAATGTTCTATATGCTGGCTCTCTATTCTGATTTGTTCCCCCACATAGGCCACTCACTCTAAAAAGTTCTAGTTATAAATTTTTTTGCAGATAATGTTTTTTCTATAACAGCCACATCAATGTGAGGAAATCTGCCTTCTGTAGGATCAAAGTGTCCAGTAAGTTAATGGTGATGGATTTAAAGAGCTGTATTCATACAGAGAGTTTGTGTACACTCAAACTTTTAGTCATGTTTTAACACTTGATAATACAATTGTAAATTCTAGTGTGGACACTATACAAGTATTTATTCCAGGACACAAATGTTCGCTGCTAGTTGTATTTAAACTGAATGGGTTATTACACTGAGGCAGATGAAATTGTCAATACATTAAAATGATTTTTCTAAACTAGGAATTGGCATTCAATTCAAAACATTTCACATGCTTAGAAACCATACACTTACAGAGTATGTCTACACTTCGAGCTGGGGGAGTAATATCCAGTTTGAGGAGACACACCCATGCTAGCTTTGATGGAGCTAGCATACTAATATAGCCGTGGCAGTGTTTGCAGCAGGAGGGGCTAGCCACCCTGAATAATTGTGTAGCATTTTAGAGAGGTATGTATTCAGGGTGGCTACTCTTCCACTACTTGCCCTGCCACACCTACACTCTAGCTCTAAGTATAGAAGTTAGGGAAAGGATCATATACCATTTTCTAACACTTCTATAAATGCCTTTTAAAGGATACTCAACATACTTTACAAATAATCAATTAATCTTCACCACCACACTCATCTGATATAGGATTATACCCCACTTCCAGAAGGGTAAACAGAGGCAAGGAGAGGTTAAGTCACTTGATCAAGATCCCACAGTAAATTTATGGCAGAGCTGGGAACACAACCTGAGAGTCCCAATGCCCATTTTCTTGTTCTAATCATTCAGTAGGCCACACTTTGTTGTACAGCCTTAGCTCAAGGCATGCGCCTGGTGTATAGCGGCACAGGGCCATTGACTTTGGGAGGTACCTGTTTGCCAGCACGCCAGATCCAGGAAATCCCCGTTCACACATAATGGCACGCCTCAAACCTGCCACCAGTTTCAAAGATACAAGGGCCAGACCAGCCTCCTCAGTGCTTAAATCCTCTTGGCTTCTCTTTCTAGCTGATTAAACCCTTTTGATCCTTAGCAACTCAAGAATGACAAAGAACCTGACACCTTCTTGCTTCATTGTTAAAGAGTAGGGTGTATAAGAATAAATAAAACAGGTTTATAAATGGAGACTTAAGATCAAGTATATGCTGAATCCTTGGCCAAAGATAAGTCATTTCTTTCATTGTACGGTAGAACCTCAGAGTTATGAGCTGACCAGTCAACCACACCCCTCATTTGGAATCAGAAGTATGCAATCAGACAGCAGCAGAGACACCGCCCCCCCCCCCAAAAAAAAGCAAATACAGTACAGTACTGTGTTAAACATAAACTACTAACAAAAAAAAAGGGAAAGCAGCATTTCTCTCCTGCACAGTAAAGTTTCAACGCTGTATTAAGTCAATGTTCAATTGTAAACTTTTGAAAGACCAACCCTAACATTTTATTCAGCATTACGAACATTTCAGAGTTACGAACAACCTCCATTCCCGAAGTGTTCATAACTCTGAGATTCTACTGTATTCCTTATATTTGTAATAAGGAAAGTTCTGCTGTGAACACCTATTAGTCCTACAAGTCACTGCAATGGGACTATTTTAGACTGAAAGCGTTTCAGGGCAGAAGCCATCTTCTGTTCTATGCTTATACGGTGCATAGCACAATGGAGCCCCAACCAACGCCTTTAAGGTGCTTCCAAAATAAAAATGATAATATTTGTGAGTGAGGGTTTACAAAATTGGGCCTCAAGACTGACAAGCAGGAGATGAGCTGGGACAATGCGAATGACAAGGCAAGGAGTGACCATAACCTAGCCTGACAAGGCAATAAGAAAGCTGCTCATGGAAAGCCTGCCCCTGCTCACCTCTCCTCCACTCCCCCTCAAGCCCCACCCACCCCCACAGCAGACAGCAAAACCCAGAGTAGCCAAGGGAGAAAGAGGGGGGCCAGGAAATGAACCTGCCGCAGAGCTGCTCAGAGCACCAGACAAGAGGTCTCCCCAGAATGTCACACAAGTAGACCAGAACCACATTATGAGAGAACCATCTATTGTTGTGTATATTAACATACTTTCTACAGCATGTGTGGTATATGGTGAACACGGAAATATATATTTAGATATTTTGAAGTAAAAAAGGAATTAAACCCTGCGCAGGCCTCTTAAATGGCTTCTCATTTTGTAACTCGGGCTCTGCGCTATTACATGTTCCCTCAGTGGCCAATCCATAGAGGTTTATGAGTCTGCTGCTGCTCCCAGCTAGATGAGTCCAACAATAGACAACTAACATTTTTAAAGCAAGAGGTTCTACCTTCAGGCACTAGGGATGGTCCAAATGGGGTGAGGTAACACAAGGTGTTTTCTGAACAGAGAATGCAACACAATCCCTGCCCTAAGGAGCTTAATTTAAAGAGAGAGAAGGTGCTGTTATCTTAATATTTTAAACAAGTAAGCTATTTCCAGATTACTCCTGAAACTTGTCACAGATAGTCAGCAAGTTCACCTTAGGCATCACACACAATTAAGTCTCTAGGAGGAACTTAAATGCAAAGATGGTCAGGGCTTTGTGGATGAGCTCAGGAAGGCAGCAAGGCTGGGTATTGGGAGGTTCGGAGCTCTAATTCTGCTTCTCCCACTCACTCACTGCATGGCCTTGGGTGAGTAACTGCACCTTTATGTCTCTGCTCTACCAGTATAACAGGAATAATATTTACCCACTTTCCTTACTGGGACGTTGCGAGGATTAGCTAGGATCTATACGGTACTTTGA